TCTCTCCCTTCCCTCCCCCCCCTCTCTCTCTCTCTCTCTCTCTCTCTCTCTCTCTCTCTCTCTCTTATACTACCGTGGTCTTTCTTGCGCGCGCGAGCGCGAGCCGATTCCGCGCTAAATCGGGGCTACGAATTATATTACCGGCGCTTTCGATCGCGGGGGAATTTCTCAACGAAATACGTGTAATTATCGTGCGAAGGACTCGCGCAAATGCTCGCCCGCGCTCGCCCGATGGAGACGGCAAAACGAGAATCCGCCACGGGCTTCATAAATTTCCGACGTAAGCATCGTCCGGTCAGAAATAACACGAAAGAGAGAGAGAGAGAGAGAGAGAAGGGGAAAAAGAGAGAGAAAGAGAGAGTGTGTGCGGGATTTATTGCCGCGAAAGAGAATAATGCGTTCCGTTTTCAATTTCTCCCCCTCATCTTCCACCGCAGCAAGCTGCCTGTCCGTCCGTCCGTTCCCTCGTTCGCTGGTTCATTCGTTCTTTCGTGTACGTACATCCGTCTGTCGCTATCGAGCAATCGGGAGATAAATATTAGCCAGAGGGGGGAGGGGGGATCGTTCAATCGTCGTGGAGGGCATCGATACGCCCTCCTCCACAGGCTCTTTTCAAGGTGTCCCTCGGGATATTCGGGATATAAGCGAGAGTGATCATTCCGCTACCTGCGAGGGATCCTTTCGTACCTTGGGCAAGGACGCCAGGCATTGCTGCTTCACATCCCAGACCAGCTGATCCTTGGGAAACTGTAGACACTTGCTGACATAGAGCTCGGGCACGTGGACCCTGGCGAGCAGCACACCCTCGTCGACGGGGGTGTTCTCCGCCGTTGCGAGCACATCCTGCGTCTGCTGACCTTGACCCTGCGTCGCGCCGCCACCCTGAGGTACAACGACCTGGCCCTGAGGCTGAACCGCACCGCCAGCACCGGGAGAGTTCTGCTGCTGCTGCTGCTGCTGCTGCTGCTGCTGCTGCTGCTGATGCTGCTGAGGGGATTGCTGCTGCGGCGACTGCTGCTGGGGCGGTTGCTGTTGCGGCGACTGCTGCTGTTGCTTTGGTCCCGCCTCCATTACGAGGACCTCGCGATTCCTGAGGATTCCACCTTCAGTAGCTCACATCTGTAACGAAAAACCCCACGGTTTTCATCAGTCATCAATAACATTTGTTAGAAGGAAAAAAGTAAGACATTGTTACTTCAATTGCAATGTGTATTCTATTGATTAAGACACTCAAAACGAAGAATATATTGATAAATTAGTTCACAGATTAGTTAAGTGACTTCTTTTAAAAACAAGGACACGTGGTTTACGTTCCATGTTACAAAAGCTATAAACGTTCAAATGTTTATCCTAAAAGCCTTATTATTGGTACTTAATATTTTCTTTTCTTTTTTGGTGCGAACCAATACATCAATATTGTATTAAGATTTCACTATCGTGTCAAAATTTCTTACCAAAATACGATATAATCGTTTATTAAAATAATAAATGAGAAAATTAAAGCGAAACATCCAATTATTAGCATCACCCTTAGTCATTGATACTCTAGAAGAATCTGGTTTTTTCTTATGGAAAAACTTCGTTGGTGTAACTAAGTTTTTTGTTACTTAAGGACCAAATAAAAACTCGGTTACAGAAATAGGAAGACTCCTGTAGGAGATTTCTACACTGAGAGAAAAAATATCTAAAAATTAGTAAACATTTTTATTTGATACTAACAGTATATATATTTAAATCTTAATTAATTCTTTTATCTAAATAGAATAAATAAATATTTTCATGAAAATTAGGTTTTCTTAATATTTTAAAATTAATGAATAATTTTTATAATTAATTATAATATTAATAGTTTGAACTTATTTGAAACTTAATAATTTTTTACATAAGAAAAAATATATTTTCTTATGTGAAAAATATTTTATAAGTATATGCTGCTAGTACACACCCACTACAAATAAATATTTATTATTTCATAGATATCTTTTTTTCTCGAAATACTCCGCCAATTGCTGTCGGTTATTTCAACCGAGTTTTGCAAGTGAATGCTTAGATGAATATAATTTCCCATGGTAGCAAAGATATTGTTTCTTGTAAATGAAATTTTCGTTTAGTCCCCATTCATCTACATGAACTGAAATTTCTTCCCCGCGTAGAATCAGCGTTGCAGTAAAGTTTTTCGTCTGGACTCTATGATCCCAAAAACGATCTTCACAGTTAAAACTGTCAATAGACGCTGTTGGCCACAAGAAAAACTAGAGTATCAATGACTAAGGGGAATGTCAGTAACTGTGTGCTTTATTTTAGTAATCAATTTAAAATTTATATAAAAAGAAATTTTAGCAATGTAATTTTATTATATTCAATTAAATCCAATGGATACAATTAAAAAGTTCTTGAGACATTCAAACGTCTTATCGTATGCATTTCGCAATCGATAGCACTGAATCATTTCACGCGACCCGCGTGGAATATATCATTTTCGGCTCTGGTAATTACACCGCGGCGACGAGAAAAAACATAATTATCTCCTAAGAGTGCGCGCAAGTCTGACGAAAAGCGGATTCGTTAACGAGCGTGTAAGTGCCATAAACGCTGTATAGACGAGTAATGACACAACGATAAGTCGTGCGCGACAGATGACGGGTGACAACGAGAGAGGAGGAGCGAGTGAAGAAGAAGGAAGAGGAGAAGGAGGAGGAGAAGGAAGGTGAGAGGGAGATAGGGAGAGGCAGGAGGGCAGACGTTTTGGCTGAAGAAGAGGAAGAAGAAATTAAAACGACGGAAGATTCGCTGTTTATGGCCACAGCGAGGAGGTAACGGTAAAGGGAAGACGGGGATTACCGCAATGGAAATAAAGAAACGGCGCCGGGACGCCACGATTTTTAACGCTCGTAAAATGTTTTATGTCTGGCGATGCGCGCAACGCGCGCTTTTCCCTCCATCTCTCTCTCTCTCTCTCTCTCTCTCTCTCTCTCTCTCTCTCTCTCTC